GGGTCTTTTGTTGCCCCATATGAATTTTAGTATTCTTTTTTCTATTTCTGTGAAGAATGTCATTGGAATTCTGATTGGGATTGCATTGAATCTATAGATTGCTTTAGGTAAAATGGACATTTTAAGTATGTTTATTCTTCCAATCCACGTGCATGGGATGTCTTTCCATTTCTTTATGTCATCATCGATTTCTTTCAATAATGTCTTGTAGTTTTCATTGTATAGGTCTTTCACCTCCTTGGTAAGATTTATTCCTAGATATTTTATTCTTTTTAATGCAATTGTAAATGGTATTATCCAGAAAGACACTTTTTAATGAATACTTTTATTTTAACTTTGTCATTGTCTGAATCGCAGCAGACAGCAGCTTTGATTTGTGAAAGGCATCAAATATCATTTCCCCTGAGAGAAAAATTTCCCCAGCACTGGCTGCAGAGGGAGTTGGGAGAAGGCAGTCAGCAAGTTCCTTTTCTCCTCCCTCTCATAAGTGGGCTTAGAGAAGAGAGAGTAACAGCTAAGCCCAGTGGAATACTCTTCACCCTCATTGTCAGTGTCAAAGCTTGTAACAGTCAGTCAGTTTTTCATGGTGACGTAGAACACAGGCATCCAGAATAACTGAATGAAAATACACAAATAATCTCGACCCCTCATTTTACTATTGCTTCCCATCTCTCCCACCAGCCCCTTCCTTTACTCCTCAGAGTAAAGGAAATCTGCTTTCTTCCTCTTTTTCTCCCTAAACACTTCCATGCAAAATGTGTGAAAAAACTCATTCCAATAATAATAATAATAATTAACATTTATAGAGCAATTTTTCTGGTTAAGCACTTGCAATGTATTGTCTCATTTAATCCTCAAAATAAACCTACGAGATGGGTACTATTATTATTTCCATTTTACAGATATAGAAATTGAGATACAGAAAGGGTATTGGGGGGGCTTGGATATGAGAATTAGTGTCTTGATAAGTTCCAGTGCTCTTAATCATTACACTAACTGCATCTCAAAGGAATGGTACTAAACGTTGGATGTTGACAATATGTTAAATGGATAATTAATTTCTGTTATATGCTTGGCTATTTTGAATCTCTCTACACTGTCAAAGTGTGAGCATGAAAACTAAGATAATCAAGATGATTTAATTTAAAAAAACACTACTTTTAATAGGCAGACGCAGCACAGTTACCCTGCTCTATGGGAAGGCACCAAACCCCGTTAGAGGTGGATAAATGTAACAACCCTGTCTGTGTTCTCCTCTGTCATCCCATCTGGCTGTGTCCACACTCCTCCTCTTTAGGCAGCAGTGTATTTTCAGCCACCTTTTCTGTTTTTCACTTTTTCTGCCTTTGTTTTTCTCTACTTTGCTCATGATTAAATCTGTAGTGTGGAAATAAATGTACTTTGCCCACAGAAAGGTGTTTTGGCAAGAGGTTGCCTTCCTGGGGGGGGTGTGTGTGTGTGTCTGTGTTATGGGATGTGTGTGCCTGTGTATGTTAAAGGAACACCAGACAACTAGAATGGCCCTGACTTTAGAAATCCGCTCTCTCTCTCGTTAGGTACCTCTTTAAACTGTTGTAAATTTTTATGTGGATTGACCTCAATGATGAAACTAATTCTAGAGGAGAGTTTTAGGCAGTGGCTAAAAGAATTCCTGATTCTTATTTTGCCTTCCATGGGTTGCTGACTGGAACGAACTAGCTGTGCATGCTGACAACCTGACTATATTATTTGTCTTGTGTTTTTATGAATGCTCACTGGTCCCTCGGGGAAAGGGACCTTTTCCATTGCAGTCAGGAAGATCAGCTCCAAGTACTCCATAACTTCAAATCTATGGCCCCATTAAAGTTCTTGACTTCCTGGCCCAAATATCCAGTCCTGTTGCTGAGCCCTGAACGAGAGGGCAGCTCTACCCAACATGAGGACCATTGTTGGTTCCTGATTTCAAAGCTCATGGCAAAATCGAGAACTTACCCTGGTGATAATTACTCCAAATATATGTAGCTTTCTCTGTTTAGGTTCACTTTTTCTTTTTAGTATACTTTAAAGTGTTCCTTCTGTATGTTGGCGTCTCGTCCAAGAAATTACCAGTTTTTCTATGGAATATGTGGATGGAGCCATGGGATTTCACTTTTTATGACTTCTGTAAGTTAAAAATCACCCCCATGAGTGTGAGGATGAACTTAATTGAAGCAGGATGGCATGGAGGTTCACGTGCCTTTGTTTGCCTTCTTGCAGACAGCATTTTCCATGGGAATGAAGAAGCCTTGTATTGCAACTCTCACAACAGCCTGGACTTAAATTATTTAAATGGCACCGTCACCAATGGCAGTGTGTGTAGCGTTCACAGTGTCAACTCCCTCAACTGCTCCCAGAGTTTCATCCAGGCTTCTCCCGTATCCTCCAACCTCAGCATCCCTGGGAGTGACATCATGCGGGCTGACTACATCCCTAGCCACCGACACAGCGCGATCATCGTGCCGTCTTACCGGCCGACCCCCGATTATGAGACAGTCATGCGGCAGATGAAGAGGGGGGTCATGCACACAGACAGCCAGAGCCAGTCTCTACGAAACCTCAACATCATCAACACCCACGCCTACAACCAGCCGGAGGACCTGGTGTACAGCCAGCCCGAGATGCGGGAGAGGCACCCCTACACTGTCCCTTATGGACCACAGGGGGGCTACAGTAACAAGCTTGTTGCTCCATCTGACCAGATAAACCCAAAGAATAACACAGTACCCAGCAAGCCGGGGGCAAGTGCCATCTCACACACGGTGAGCACCCCAGAGTTGGCCAACATGCAACTCCAAGGCACCCATAACTACAACACGGCCCATATGCTCAAAAACTATCTCTTCAGGCCGCCGCCCCCCTATCCACGACCCCGCCCTGCCACCAGCACCCCAGACCTCGCCAGCCACCGCCACAAGTACGTGAGTGGCAGTAGCCCCGACCTGGTGACCCGCAAAGTGCAGCTCTCAGTGAAGACCTTCCAAGAAGACAGCTCCCCGGTGGTGCATCAGTCTCTCCAGGAGGTGAGCGAGCCCCTCACGGCCACCAAGCACCATGGCACAGTGAACAAGCGCCACAGCCTGGAGGTGATGAACAGCATGGTGCGGGGCATGGAAGCCATGACACTGAAGTCACTCAACATCCCCATGGCTCGCCGAAACACCCTCCGGGAGCAGGGGCCACCTGAAGAGGTGCCAGGGAGCCACGAGGTTCACCAGCTTCCCCAGTATCACCACAATAAGACTTTCTCTGATGCCACGATGCTGATCCACAGCAGCGAGAGCGAGGAGGAGGAGGAGGAGGCTCCAGAATCGGTGCCCCAGATCCCTGTGCTCCGTGAGAAGATGGAGTACAGCGCTCAGCTGCAAGCAGCCTTAGCCCGAATTCCAAACAAGCCCCCGCCCGAGTACCCGGGACCGAGGAAAAGCGTTAGCAACGGGGCACTGAGGCAAGACCAGGTTAGCCTTCCTCCTGCCATCGCCAGAGCCAGGGTGCTGCGGCACGGGCCGGCCAAGGCTGTCAGTGTCTCCCGAGCTGACCAGCTGGCTGTCAACGGGTCCTCTCTCGGTCCATCCATCTCAGAACCCGACCTGACAAGCGTGAAGGAGCGAGTCAAAAAAGAGCCTGTGAAGGAGAGACCTGTGTCTGAAATGTTTTCCCTGGAGGACAGCATTATAGAGAGAGAGATGATGATCAGGGTAAGTGTCTTCCTCTCCTGGGGCAGTGTTTGGGGGAGAGTCAACCACGCTGGTCCTCCCCTGCAGCCTCCTCTGCTCCTTTTCCGTGATCATATTCAGAGTGTGAAAGCACACGTGCTTTAGGCACTGACGAATGCGCGAGGCTCAGTCAGGGAGTGTGTTGGGGATTTAAAGAATCCCTTGCCATTTAAGCAGGTAGTAGTTTATTTCACAAAACTTCTGTTTTTTGCCCCTTCACATAAATCGTCCATTCTCATTCATGGTTTCCAATAGGGGTACTTGGTACAAAGTGCTGTCATGGGGTCAGGATATGACGGGTTGGTGGGTGTTGAGATCCGTGTCTTGGCCAGCATTTTGCTGTTTATTCAGAGTCAAACTAGCTATTGTGTGAGCTGCTAGGAGCTCGCCTTCCTCCACCTCGTGGTATTTTATTTTCAGGGGAAAGCATTTTTTTCCCAATTAGATACTAAAAGAGCAACATCCCATCAGAGCACAGCTCTCTGTGTGGATCTTGATGTCAGGATGGCTCACCGATATAGACTGGAGCATGATGTGTCAGATTTATTCTCAAATTTTCTTTCAATAGATGCTTAACACAAATCCAAGAAAATTACAGTAAACTCGGAAGTTTACCATTGAGCTTCAACTCCCCATTAAGCTTATTCTGTCAAGAATTCACACACATGGATGTGAATACACTCATACACGTACATACACATGCACACACTTATAACATTTGAAGATGCCTAGGATTAGACATAAGTAACCCTTCTTCAGAACAGGTACCATCTGGAGGTCTGGCTGTGTTGTCAGAGCAAGACTGTGCAGGTAATAGGAGCACACGTAGAACAACAAAGTGAATTATCTCCTTAAACTAAGGAGAAAATTGCGAGGTTGTAATTGCTACCTTAAAAAATATTTCAGAACACCAATGCTGTTTCTCCTGGAAATTTTCACTCCCTTAAAAAATAAAAAACCATTTCATTTTAACTAATCAAACCCAGATTGACTTCTCTTCTGCATGTACCTCATCTGTACCTTAAGGGAACCAGGGCTTATTTTAGGAACTCTAGAACAGTGGTAACTTACAGTTAGCTTTCATGGAGTTCATTCGACTCCCTGCATGTATGAGTCTCCCTGATTCTCCAGTGGGAATCCACCTGAAAAGAACAGTGAAGGGCCAAAGTTTTGAGGAAGCCGAGTTGCTGGGTTCAGGAATCGAATCCTTAGCAACTTTACTGCTTTAGACAAACCCTAAGAACAGCCCCACCATTCTGGCCATCAGTACAGTCGTGCTAAGAATTTGGTACAGGCATAACTTTTTCCACTTTTTGCAAACCTAGAGGGAAATTGTGAAAGATGTGCCTGTGCCTCTGGCAAATAAAACCTTTTGGCTGGGGGATGGAATGAAAGGCGGGGGTGGGTGCCTTGGGGGAGAGCTTTCCCAGCTTGGAAAAAGTAATTCATTGGTAGAAAGAGATTTTCACCACTTCTTGGCCCCAGGCGCCTTTAACATAACTCGGCATCAAGAACCCATCAGTCTCAGCGTTCAGCTTTGCTATTTCCCCTGCCGACTTGATATTTATTGCTGCCTGCATGGTCCCGTGGCCTTATTTTGGTCATATTCATCCTCTTCTCTTGTTAATCTGTGTTATACAAAACCCTGTAGCCAAACTCATGGCACTGGTTTCCTGCATAGAGCTTCTTGCGATATCATAAACGAGCAAGGGGTTTTCTGCTGTTTCTCCCATCTGCTCTCCCATCCCATCCACACAGATAATAGTGAGTAGCCGATTTTACTCCTTAAATGCAGTTCAGAAACATCATTACCCCATCCCTACTGCATTTTCCTTGTTGATTTCTTTCCAAATCCTACATACTCTGGAGCTCAAGGACTGCCACCCTTTGCTGGGTCCCGACCTTAGGGTAGGATGAGGAGGTTCTTCAGTGAGCCAGGCAAGATGGTGACAGTGCCAGGGGCACTGAAGCTTGGGATGGTTCTCCATCTCTCTCTCTTTTTTTTTTGTGAGGAAGATCGGCCCTGAGCTAACATCTGCCAATCCTCTTTTTTTTGCTGAGAAAGACTGGCCCTGGGCTAACATCCATGCCCATCTTCCTCCACTTTACGTGGGACGCCGCCACAGCATGGCTTGCCAAGCAGTGCATTGGTGCGCGCCCGGGATCCGAACCGGCGAATCCCGGGCCGCCGCAGCAGAGCACACCGCTTAACCACTTGCACCACCGGGCCGGCCCCTCCATCTCTTTTTTAATGAGGAAACTTACCCCACATCTCAGACGCTTCTCTGCCCTCCCCACCTTGGGCGGCTTTTGCCTGGCTTGCTAGGAATGGATGGGGAGAGAAGGCAGTCTGGCCTTTCTAGGAGAAAAAAACAATGAGAAGCTTTAACCCAGTGGGAACTGGAGGGGGGCAAGTATGGTGAGAATTTGCCCCGTGGGCAACTCTCCATAATTCTGGGGCTGCTTGTCTATTTGATGGATGAATCAGGCTGGCTGTCTCGATGGCTCCTCCTTCTGGTTCCTACTGCTGATTGAAGACATTTCCCTGCTTGTAGCCCCCTAACTCCAAGTCAGGTGCAGGGAAGAGAAAAGGACAAATCAGATCTTCGAGTTATTTATTTTTTATCCCTGATAATAAGTTGGTAAGGTAAGTGCGAAGGAGCTAAGAGAAATAGTTTACCACTAGGGTTTCAGTTTTCACTAGGTAAGTAGTAATCCTTTCCTGAGAAAGACAAGTTAGCTACTTTTTGCCTTAGGCCTAGTTAGGGTCGCCAGATGGTGCAGGTGGGAAGGAAGCAGAGAGACTGGCAGGAGGACCTCAGGACCATTTTCCCATAATTATTGCTTTCTCAAAACTTTGTGGAGGAGTGAAACAGATTCTCAACTCAAAGAGGTGAAGGGAAAAAAAAATTCTCCCTCACAAAAACAAACTAATAAGCAAACAAAAGCCCAAAAATTTAAATCCAAAATCTTCAAAATCTGCCTGAGATTGAGAAACCAGGGTCATTCTTCAGACTATTATACCTTTTGGCTGAAAATTCAATACTTTTCTCATTTTCCCACAGTTAATTCTCCTCTGAGATGCTCCTTTCGTTTGTCTGATGGGTCGGCTCTATCAGTGGGTGAAGCTTCCTCTTAGCAGCATCACTCACAAAGGCCAGGGCTCCGTTCTGACTGTAGCTGGCATTGAAATCACGAGGGGACTCATATAGGAGTGTGACACCACCCCCTCCACCCACAATTAGAGTAGTCTGCTAACCCCTTGTCATCTCTCAGCACCATGGCTCCATCAAAACACCTCCCTAGGGAGTAAATTTATAAATGATAGACTAAGAAAAAAATCCCTAACAGCTGGAAAAGAAACCAGAGATAAGATGACCCCTTCATCTGTGGCAGCCAAAGGAATCCGCAAATTGGTTTCACTTCAGTTTGGATCAAAATCTTAAACTCTCTAAAAACTCATCTGTTTGTGTGCTTTGTGAAGTCCCTCTGTTCTTCTGTCTTCTAAGACAAAATTATTTTTAGGAAATGCTCTTATTGGCTTGCCGTAGTGAGTAAAAGGAGATGTTTTTCATACCTCAGTGAGTTTGGAGGACGTGAGGAAGTGCAGCGGTAGACCTAACAGCCAGGGCCCTGACGGATCCAATTTCAGTGTCGGTGCAGGTGAGGCTAGAGAGGAAATCAAAAAGCCACAGAAAAGGGCCAGGTTAGCCTCAAGCCTTTCCCTGAGTGGTCTGCTCAGCCCCCAAATCCATATTTTCCCATAGCTTAGTCACATCTCATGATGTCCCACCATAATCGTTGGGAGCCATGATGTCCATTCCTTTGGGCCCTCCGGATGAAGCATGAAAGGGGACGCCTAGTGGGTCATTGCAGATGGCCCCAGACTTGAGTGTTAGTAAGTTTGCTAAACCACCTAAGCCCTCATTGTGGGGATGGTATCCCAGGGACCAGAGAGTCAATATAAGATTGATATCCGTGGTCTCAGCCCCTCAGAATGGAAACTTGGGAAGGTTTTTCTCCACAATTTATGTATGTGGATCTCTTAACAATGCAACAAACAGTTTTTATATGTTGTTTACTGTTTAATCTGTATAAAAGGTCCATCATTGTGATTGGATTAGATTGTTCATGAAACTGTTTCTCTTTTCCTTGTCCTGTCTTATTTCAGCCCTTTTTTTCCTAACGTGTCTTTCTTGTACACTGTTTTTTGTGAGTCCCATAGCAGGGTGTATTTGTATGGAGTCTGCTCTAATTTGTTTCTTCATTCATTCATCCATTTTTAAATAAAAGCTGGAGACTCCTGTAGGGTCCGGCTTCCTCAGGCACATGAGAGAAATGGAAAGGCTCTGTTTGAATTTGCTCTACGAATGGTGGTTGTCGGCATTCCTTTGCTGGGGAGTTACAGATTTGGGGAGATTAAAACACATTCCAGCATTCTACTGGTATTATAAACAATGAGAACATGCCTTTTCTTGCCACAAGAATCTAGAGAAGCAGAAGATGGCAGGCCTGGAGGCGCAGAAGAGGCCACTGATGTTGGCAGCACTGAATGGACTCTCAGTTGCTCGGGTCTCAGGGCGGGAAGAGAGTCAAGTTGATGCCACCCGAGTTCCCATGGACGAGAGGGTAAGCACTGGGCTTGTCAAACATGTGATTCATTCCCCGTGGTCTTAGGATTCCAAAGCTCTCTCCTTGCCTAAACATGCCAGCACTAAGCTTTGTGATGAATTAATTTTTCAATTTGAAATTAGCAAGACCTGGTCTGTGTTGTATTAAATCTGTCCTTTCCAACATCTTGTGTTTCTTTGTCAAGTTGGTGCAGTGATGCCTGAAAGAGACCAGCCCCTAACATGCTGTGTGGCCTTGGTCAAGTCACTCAATTCCTTTGGGCCTGTTTCTTTCTTTGGCAAATGAGGATGTTAAGCAATTGCTGTAGCTCTCCATTTCTATGACTTTTGTGAACAATTATTCTTTATCAGGGAGTGATTATTTTACCCAAGCATTTATAGAATTCTTTTAAAATGCTGTTCTCTTATTTGAACATAAAATGTGGCTGATTTATAATTGTTGGGATAATGCATTGCAAGAACTTTGGTTTTGAAAAGCAAAGAGAAGTCACTTGGTAGTGTTTTAGAGGTGAAGAAAGGTGCTCCTTTAGTTCCTGAAATTGCTGCCAGGTTAAGGAACAGGTCGTGTAAATTTAATAGGGTGCTAATAATATTAGGGTTTCAGATTTCTGCCAGTATATATGAAGTATTAGAATGGGTTTAGAGTCAGAAGGGGCTTTAGAGGGATCATTTAATCTAATTAATACCATGTAATTGTAATTAGTAGTTTGGCCATGGGAAAAATAAAAGGGGGAGGGGTCCTAATCCTCAGAACGAGAGACCTGTGGACCAGTTTCATCTTAACATTTAGCTCAGTAAAAAGAGCTAAGTGGAGAAAAGGATGTTTGGACAAGTAAGATTAACAATCTCCTGTCACTAGGACTTTAAACAGAGGTATTAATAACAAAAATACTGATTTTGAATTTCAACTCTTGCCTGGTCTTATAGATTTGTTCTGTTTAAGGTATGAGTGGGAAGGAAATTGGTTATTGGACAAGAGAAATTAGCAGTGTGGTTAACAATGAGACCACATACTCAAACTTTAGTTGTACATCTTGAAACTGTTTATTAACACCATCACTGTAAATATTTAAAGAAATCTGGTTGTTTTGTTGGAGTTTTCGGATAAGGTAATTCAGAGAACTGAAGATTAGTTTCTGTTGCAGTTCAGAACCCTGAAGAAGAAGCTAGAAGAGGGAATGGTGTTCACAGAATATGAGCAAATTCCAAAGAAAAAGGCAAATGGCATCTTCAGCACAGCGGCTCTGCCAGAAAATGCTGAACGCAGCCGAATCCGGGAAGTTGTCCCCTATGAGGAGAATCGAGTAGAGCTGATACCGACCAAAGAAAATAACACAGGTTACATTAATGCCTCCCATATCAAGGTAAGAAGGGGAGCGTCTTGGGAAGGTTTGTGAAGATTGCTGGGTTAAAGGTAAAAATGCAGGGAGAAAAAAATGTCCAGGCTGCAACTGTGCCTCTTGGCCTGTTCCCAGACCCTGAGGGAGTGTTTTTGTTAGTCAACTGGAAGGGCATGCCTACCACTGCAGAGAGAAGGAAGCCTGGCGGCTTCTGGGAAAGCCTCAGTTCAGGTCAGCTATTTCTGAAGCTGGCTCATTACAGAGGCTTTAACTTTTTCTTTTCTCTGTGGGTCATAACGCTCCCTGAAACTCACAGGAAAAGCTGAGGATTGTCCTTTTCGGTTTGTAATTAGCAGATGATGGAGACTGGAAATCACAGGCATTGGATTTCTGCCACTGAAGTTTTTATGATGATCAAGAGCAAAGAAACTTATCAATTCTCCCTTGTAGTACTACAGGTTATACATTTTACAGCTGCAGTCCCAAATTTGCATGATATTTAGAGGAGTTGGACTGCTTTAAACGTAAACCACACAAAGGTGTGGTTGATACTGAACCTTGCAAGATTTGCTACATAATTCGATGTATTAGTGTCATTAAATTTTTGTTTATATTTCAAATACTTCCAACTTTCATATCTCAGTATTTCATAGTCTTTAGAATTAGTCAGCTTTGCTTGACACTAGCTAGAATTTAGAGTTATGTGTACATACAGTTAAATGTTTCCTAAATAGCTTACCTTCCTCAGTGTCCCTAATAACAGAGCATACTTGTTTAGAATGTCACCGTTTGCTCTGAACTCTGAAGTAAGTGATCAATAGCCTTAGAAACCTGTTTCTGGCTTTGTCCAGAGTTATTTTCTTTCTTCATTGGACTTTTTAACTCTAGAAGAATTATTGGTAGGTTCCTTTGAGCCTCTAAAATATAGCTAGATGTCTGGTGCATGTATCAGTTAAAACAGTTTCGATACAGAATGTGAAAAGTATACCTTGGGGGCCGGCCCCGTGGCTTAGCGGTGAAGTGGGCGCGCTCCAGTGCTGGCAGCCCAGGTTCGGATCCCGGGCACGCACCGACACACCGCTTCTCCAGCCATGCTGAGGTGGCGTCCCACATACAGCAACTAGAAGGATGTGCAACTATGACATGCAACTGTCTACTGGGGCTTTGGGGGGGAAAAGAAAAAAAGGAGGAAGATTGGCAATAGATGTTGGCTCAGAGCCGGTCTTCCTCAGCGAAAAAAAGAGGAGGATTAGCATGGATGTTAGCTCAGGGCTGATATTCCTCACAAAAAAAAAAGTACACCTTGGTTGGGTATAGTGTTTTGGTACACAGAGCATAGATAAACATATATCGTTAAGTATCAGAAAGTACTGTCAAAAGAAATATGAAAGAGCAACTATGACAGATGCTATTGTGTATTTGACTCTTATTTTTGAGAGTGAGAACTAAAAAAAGAATAAACGAACCTCAGGAAACTCTTAAGTAAACTGACAGTGGTGAGTTTCGTGGGCTTAGTTTTAGATTGTGAAACAATGACCAAAATAATGAACTCAAGCAAAGATGCAGATCACTCAGCTGCTTCTTGGTAGAATGTCTATGAAAATCTTACACGGCTGTATTACACTGTCTTCTTCTTTTGGCCAAATATTTTCCACCATTTTCCATCTGCTCCCTGGAAAAAGCTGTCACTCTGCATCAACTGTGCCCCTGGGGTATTGTTAACAGAAGAATTACTTCCTCAGTATTCTCCGAGGCCCACATGTCATCTTGTGGATCCGGGTTAGACATGGGTGCATTTAATAGACCCATAGAGCTTGCAAGAACTTGTCCTTGTGTTTTTGGAATAGAGTTGTATATTTTCCAGCGTTTTCTCCCTGGGTTCCAAGCAGCCATTAACACAGAACAGAGATTTATTTGCTCCAGAGGTGGAATCACATCTGTGAAATCTACCTCAGTAGCATTGGTTGTCATGTTTTTAATGCAGTTTTTAATACCCTCCTGTCAATACTTGGAATATGCTGAAAGGCCTCAGGCAACAGCAAACTCTGGAAGTATTTATGGTTCCTATATGTTGGGTGCCAGAGAGGCTAATGTTTAAAATCACGATTCCGCAGATAAACCAAACTCCTAGCCAGCCAGCAAATGTATGAATGTTATCTCCCACCAGTACTTGGAAAATGGATTTTGCTTGCCAGCTTTGACCTAAACATGTCTTGTGTAATGAAACAATAACTGACATTGTTTTCGTTTGAATCAAGTCAGTATATCGTTTCATAAAATAAATGAGGGGAAAAAGTTTCAAACAATGATCACTTCATTGCTCCTAGAACTATCTAGAGGTCTGCGCTGGTGGATGTGGAAGGGGACCTGACTTTGCAATATCAAGCACAGGAATGGAAGGGAACACAGAAAGAATCCCTCCAAAGGCTACCATTTCACCCTGGTAGCATGATCTTTAATACTTTGAGCACAACTTCTTATTTCTGAGTCTCTGCCACTGATGTTTATAGCTGCAGGATTATCCTCCCAAGATTACCCTGAGCTGCATGGGGTAATCATTTTATCATCCAAAATCATCTCATGACTCCAAAGTTCGGTTGGACACTGTGGTGCTGCACAAAGGAAAGATAATGATAAAATAGCACGTCTTGTTGACTTAAGTGCATTCATAACACCTCTCCCATACGTGGCACCACAGAATAGCGGGTACGACGGAGGTTTATGACACACTTCACATCAGGTCAGCGATAGAAAGACATTGCTGCCAAAGGGATGTTATTCCAAAGTAGACTTTTTTTTATTGTTTAAAAGGTTTTATTGTTTTATGTATATATGCATATGTTTTTAATATGCGCTGGTTTGCACATAATTACTATGGATTGCAGACAAAAAAGATTAGGTGTATTTTAATAGGCTTCAGTGGCAAAAAGTGTTTTCATGTAAGAATGTGTCACGAGCCATCTTGATCTCAGGGTTTTTGATAATGGCACTAACCCATTTGGCCCCCCCAAAAAATATCCAAGGTTTTCAGGTGGATACTAATGGACCCATGGTCAGCAGGTAATTCTGTCCTGGATTTGAGGTTCATTCACCGATGTTTTCCTTGGTTTCCAGGTCGTGGTTGGTGGGGCAGAATGGCACTACATAGCCACTCAGGGGCCCCTGCCACACACTTGCCATGACTTCTGGCAGATGGTGTGGGAGCAGGGAGCGAATGTGATCGCCATGGTCACCGCAGAAGAGGTAAGGAGAATGGCAGTGCAGCCATCTGCTCCCGGGAGAGGGGTGACCAGAAGACGGGCTTCACGTTAGTGACTTCCCCGCCCCATCCTCCTTCCTACAGCTCCGTTTCTCTGCAAATCCTTTTCTCTTTGGCATGCATCTGTTTTCTCTTCTTACTTCCACATAGATTCGTTTTGTTTTCCAAAGACAATTTCTTGTTGCATCCCATTGTCATCCAGCTTTTAACTCTTTTCCTTGAATTGACATGAACTAAAATCAAACAAACAAACGAACCAAACTTCAGTTCAGCCAGCTCACTTGCGTGTGCCAAACAAAGCAATAATCTTTCCACTGGAGTCTGAGAACCTCGGGCTGCCCTGGGTAAATCAGCATGTATTCCCAACCCTGGGCATGGCCAGCTCCAAATGCCATCATGCTTATCAGCTGAAGAGAGACCAGAAGCTGTTGTTCCTGTAGAGGTCTCTATTCTTTAGGGAGAGAAAAAAAATCTTTTTCTTCCTTTGCCAAGTCAAACATAGTTTTTCTTTTGTAACAAGAGAACTCTACGTGGAGTTATAAAAACTGGCACACACCACCGCTCAATCTAGCAGTTCTCTTAGAGCTTGCCGTCTTGGGGCAAGAAGTTTTGTGTTTCTTCTCTTGTCACATTTTCAATTTTTTATTTTAACTACTTCCTTTTGTTCCTTTCATTAAATTTTAACTTATGTTTTGAAGTCATTGAAGGGACTAGCTTCATCTGTTTTTTACTAATATCCATGATATTGCATATCTCTTTCCTAACAGTTTCAAAAGGATAGGGAACAGAGAGAACTGGAAAAAAAAAGTCCTATTCCTTTCATTGTCACTCTAGCAGTTGCTTTCCAGAATAGCCCATTAGAAGATGGTGGTGGAAGGACTTCAAGCTCTTTAAAGCCAGTTGTACTGCTCTAGGCTGACCTACTGTTTGACCTTCCCACAAAGAGTAAATTCTCCTTAAAATCTCTAGAATAGTTTTATCACCTTTTCAAATCGCATCACTGTAAGGGATTCATTCAACTTAATACAGTGTACTAGCTGTGCTACCCTCAGGGGCATGGTGGTAAACAAGACAGGCATGGTCCCTGTCCCCAGGGAGCTCACATCCTAGTGGGAGGGACAGTAAAAAGGAAAGAAATAAAATACGCTCAGATAGTGCTAAGTGCCCTGGAGAAAATGGGACCAGGTAATGGGGTCAAGGGTGACTGAGGGGGGCTACTTTAGATTAGATGGGCGGTCAAGGGCCCTCTGAGGAGGTTGCATTTGAGCTGAAACCTGACTTACAAGAAGGGGCCAGCCTTGTGAACACCAAGTCGAGTGATCTGTGAGGCAGCCAGAGGCTTAGGTCACTTGAAATTTGTAATTGATTTAGACTCTCAGCAGTAATATAAGTTAAAGGCCTCGGATGAACCTACTTTCACAGGATTGGTAAATAAAAGAGGCAGGTGTGCTTCACACGTAGGAAGACTCAGTTCAACCCAATGAGTCAGAGCAAGACTGTTTGTATCACCCAAAGGTGTGTTGCTTTGTAAGTGGGCTAGCCGTCAGGGCCCCTCACTAAAGACCACATCCCCCCAGTGCTCGCTGTTCACTCCCACAGCTGTGTGCTCAGGATTTCTCTTCTGTGTCCACCCACTTCCTGCCCTGGGTCCCCTTCTAAGTCACCACCTCATCCACCCCCACTCCAGTGATGTCAAAACTGTGCAAAACTTAAAAATAGACCCCAGGGGCCGGCCCGGTGGTGCAAGTGGTTAAGTGCGCGCATTCTGCTGCGGCGGCCTAGGGTTCACCGATTCGGATCCCAGGTGTACACCGACGCACTGCTTGTCAAGCCATGCTGTGGCGGCGTCCCATATAAAGTAGAGGAAGATGGGCATGGATGTTAGCTCAGGGCCAATCTTCCTCAGCAAAAAAAAAAACAAAACAGGAGGATTCACATCAGATGTTAGCTCAGGCTGATCTTCCTCACAAAAAAAAAAAATAGACTCCATTTTGTAAATGGTTGAGAATGCATATCCTCATGAAAGATTATAAAACCAAGGGAGAAAGAAAGGTGGTGTAACCCGTTCTCTGTTTCAGCTGTGGCTCAGGCTGAAAAAATATGTGATTGACACTAGATGATAGAGACCGTGTCAGTAGTCAGTGTGGTCTAACAGAAAGAGCCTTGGGCTGAACATCAGAAATGAGAAGCATGGCCTAGAATGGTTACTAGAATCTGTCACTCCCCTGCTTAAGGTCACGCCATCACCTTTGGATGGCTCTCCACTGTCCACAGAGTGAAACCCAAACTCCCTACCGTGGATGGCGAGGCCTTTCTGACCCCCTCTCTACCACCCTCCCCAACACCCTCCAGACTGCAGCCACACTGAAGACCTTTCTGTTTCTTGAGCACACCCAGCTGGTTCCTGCCTCTGGAATTTGCACTGGCTCTTTTCTCTAATGTTCAACTGCAGCTCAGTTATGAAATCTTTTAAATTTTCCATTGATGTAACTACTGTTGTAAATCTTATTATCAGTCTTAGCTGAAATTTATATGATCTACTCTGTGATAGACACTGCACAGTGCTACTGAGTTAGTGACTTAGAAACTATTAGCATCTTCCTCTGTCTCCAGATTTCAAGATTAAGAGGATAAGAGCTCCCCCTGACTTATTTCCAATTTTCCTTTTGTATGTGATTCAGGAAGGCGGACGAACCAAGAGCCACCGATACTGGCCCAAACTGGGTTCCAAGCACAGCTCAGCCACCTATGGCAAGTTCAAGGTCACCACGAAGTTCCGAACAGATTCTGGTTGCTATGCAACCACAGGCTTGAAGGTCAAGCACCTTTTGTCTGGGCAGGAAAGGACGGTGTGGCATTTGCAGTATACTGACTGGCCAGATCATGGCTGCCCAGAGGATGTCCAAGGATTTTTGTGTAAGTTTTTTCTTCCCAGTTGAGGTTTTACCACCTGCATCAATGGTCTTATCAGTTGGAGGTGAAATGGAAAGAAAGGATGCTTTTTCTTAAGTGGCAAAAGTTTTATAACATTGAAGTATATGTCCCTTCATATAGTATATGTAGAACAGAGAAAACTAATACATGTCATTTATCATATTCTCTTTACCTTTTATGCAAATAAGCTAAAACTGTGGTAAACTAATTGGTTCTACCTTGATTTAGACCTTTATCTACTCGTTAATAAATAACTATTCTGATACATGCTACATGTCTGAACCTTGAAAACATTATGCTAAGTAAAATAAATCAGACACAAAAGGGCCACTATTGTGTGATTCCACTTATATGAGGTACCCAGAATAGGCAACTTCATAGAGATAGAAAGTAGAATAGAGGTTATCAGGGACTGGGAGGAAGGGGAATAAGAAGTTATTGTTTGATGGGTACAAAGTTTCTGTTTGGGATGGTGAAGAAGTTCTAGAAATGAATAGTGGTGATGGCTGCACAGCATTGTGAGTATACTTAATGCCACATAATTCTACACTTAAAAATGATTAAAATGGTAAATTTTGTTATGTATATTTTTACCACAGTCAAAAAACCACAGAGCAATAAAGTAAAAAAAACACTGATTTTTTACATCTCGTGGAAGTTTGCATCTCCCAAGCCCTGTATTTCCCTACAGCAGTAAATCTCAATCAGTACTTTCTCAGACCTATGATTAAGATGCTGAGAATTATTGAAGTGAGCTTGTAGTTTTTGAAACTGTCATTTTTGGATTCATTAATTTATGTATATTTTTTCAGGATGTGGTTATCTTAGAAACTAATTCACCTAGATTATATGCAGTATTTTATTTGAAAAGTCAAAAACTGGGTGTGTGCCCACTTTGTGCCAGGCACTGGATCGGGCTGTTAGAATGCAGAGATGAAACAGTGTTTGTTTTATTTTATTGATTTTTTTTAATGAGGAAGACCAGCCCTGAGCTAATATCCAATGCCAATCCTCCTCTTTTTGCTGAGGAAGACTGGCCCTGGGCTAACATCCGTGCCCATCTTCCTCTACTTTATATGGGACGCTGCCACAGCATGGCTTAACAAGCGGTGCGTCGGTGTGCGCCCAGGATCCAGACCGGCGAGCCTTGTGCCACCGCAGCAGAGCGCGCGCACTTAACCGCTTGCGCCACCGGGCTGGCCCGGAAACAGTCTTTGTTTTAGAGGCACTCGCGGTCTCAGGAGAAGGGCAGGCCCGTCACTGCAGTCCAGGGGTGAGATCTGACAGTGTTGTCTGCTCTTCAGTGGTGGCTGCAGCACTCTCCCTTCCTCTCCACGTGTTTGCATAAATGTCCTGCACTTGTGGAGAAGGCTCATTCTGTCCTTACCCAGCTTGGAAGGAGGCCCTAGGGCTCTCTGCAGATTTGTTATACCTGCTGTGTTGTTACTCTCCAGCTGGCAAAAGACCTGTGACCACCACAAAGGGACCATCATCTGGATGTTGGATAATGTCAAAACCTTGATTTAATTTTGATATGCATTTGGGGGAGGTGGGGGCAGGGAGGAGAATAGAGAGAGGCTAGGTTTTCAAGTACCTAAAAGTACCATTTCACAAGTTCCAATTTCCCATTAGAGTGATGATGGTACTTGAGGAGTTGAACACTGAAAATAAGAAATAGAAAGATGATTGGAATCAGAGGATCTAGAGCAAGATTTAGAGAGGGTTAGTGATGTGCTGAGGTCAAACAGTTGTCTGTAGCTCAAAATATTAATAAGGAGAGCAGTGATCTTTGCAGAACTTTCTTTCCTCATAACAGTGTTCTTTTTATTCCTTTCTGGTAATCTTTTGCTATGTAATTGATTTATTAGAATTTTCTCCAAGATGCAGAAAATGGAAACAATAAAGGTAGATCAGTTTGATGACTGCCTAGCAGCTCTGATAAAAGATTGAGTTTATAAGGTGGTTAAAATTATAGTCACATCTTTTAAATCAGAACCGATTTAAGGAATCTAAATTACTGAAAAATATAGAGAATGTTTTTAAGCAGTATAAATTTATTAATTTATGTTTCTGTGAAACTCAGGACAAGTGTGCTGACAGGGTCTTAGCTATGTTGGCTCTCTAGATTTTTAAGAATTTAAAACGGTTTTTGCCCATGTTTATATTAGATTACCCAGATGCAGAGGACCTACGCCAAGTTGTCTTCCAGCCTCCAGGTGTCTTCCCTGAGTTACAGCTTAAGGAACTGTATTAATATGATGGCTAAAGAAGGCATCCATTTAAATCCACTCTCTCTGTGTTTTATGAAACTCCATTTGATGGTGGCATCTGCTTTATTGATCAATATTCCATTTACTACTCTTCTTAAGTTTAGCACAAGAAAAACCTTATCTCTTGTATGTGAACATTGCCTTTTGTCAGGCAGAGAATGCTCAGTCGCCTTCTGTCTTTTCCTCCTTGTAGACAAATTGTGAAGAGAATTCCATGCACAGTATTTAGCTCTTGTTGGTACCCAATGGCTGCTACTCTCTCTAGTCGCCTCAGATTGTCTTCCCTCTTCTTCGTTTTGGTCTGTCTCATTTTCCATTACTGGTGGTGGTGGTGGTGGTAGTGGTAATAAAGTAGAGTTTTTTTGTAAACTACTTTAGATGACTTTGTAATTAATAAGGTTATAAAGGAAAATAGGAGTTCTTATTAATTGTATGTAAACAGATATACCTTTAAATTACTAAAATGGTTTGAACTCACTTTTTTCCCCCTTCAGGAATTTGAGCGTTTCCCCTAGTCTTGTTTTTACGGTGCTGCATTAGGATGAGGTTTTCTGAGTATCAGCAACCTTCAAATCTGTTTCTCCCCTGAGCTAGCTACTACTGAATGTCAATTACTAGTTGACTTTTTCTGGTTCTTGGTCTGTTTGAGGATTACATTTATATACTTTTCCTTTTTTCATGATCATGAAAAAAGAAGTCATTAAGGCTTGTATTGCTGTAATTTTTCATTTGTGCCCGATTGGAGTACTGCACAGACCCCGCGCGGCCCTGCTGAGCTAGGCAGATGTTGGAAGGGATGGGGGAGGTCGCATGACCCCTCCACCCCACACACATTGCCTCCAGAAAGCGGGGTAGGGGGCTGGGAGGGCTCATCTTGAGCTACTCACATAACTACATGGAATCCAAGCTGAAAAGCAGGCCCCCCAAGTCTATTTTTAAATCTAAAACTGAAGTCAAGCCTCAGTTGACATTCACTCATTCAGTGAGGGGAAGAAAGAAGGGGCAGATGGATGCTCTTCCCACCAGAAATTGGCTCTGACAGGCGGTCGTTTCAAGGGGACCTAGCTGGTGTTCTGATCCCAGTCTGTTAATAGTACGAATTGCTGTAAGTAATGTCGAGAATCATCTGCTTGGGGGACTTTGGGATTTGCAGAGGGGAAAACAGAATTTAATTTTTAAAAAAGAACTATTTAATTTAAAGAACAAATCCTCCCATGGACTAATTGACTCCCAGCTGGTCCTTTCTGGATCCAGGACTGTACAGTGGGTACCAGCCAAATAATTAGTGTCTTGTAAGAACTGTAAATTATTGTCACTTAAAAAAAAAAGATTCACCATCAGGTTTCTCCCCCCCTCACTTGTATGCAAAGCCATGTAGGACTTGGGTGACAAGATTTGCATTTTGTCTGGCAGCCTACTTGGAGGAGATCCAGTCGGTCCGTCGGCATACCAACAGCATGCTGGAAGGCACCAAGAGCTGGCACCCTCCGATTGTCGTCCACTGCAGTGCTGGGGTGGGAAGGACCGGCGTGGTCATTCTCTCTGAGCTGATGATCTACTGCCTGGAGCATAATGAAGTGAGTCATTCTGCGTTTCTCTGAATACTCCACCTTGGGGATAAATCTACACTACGGCCAGACCTTCGCCTGTGCCCTTTCGTTTCCAGTGCCTAATTTCCTCTCTCCTGACGAGAGTTTTCCAAACTCATGATTCCTAGTTGGACTCTGACATTTTCAGACTTCCTTATCTTTTGTCTTTCACTGCTCTGTGTAGATACCCAGATAATACAGGAGAAGAGATGAAAGTGTGAGATAGGAAACATTTAGGAAATCTGAACTTAGTCGGCATCGACTTGGAAAGGCTGCAGTGTTTTGTAGATGGTCTGGTCTTATGGTGGGTAATTTTCCATGGCGGGTTATTTGATCGCACGTAGTTTAGATGCATCTTGCATTTCTGGGATGTGTTTTAGCCTAAATCCTATGTAAAGATGTGTATGCTTTAAAATTGTTTTTCATTCTTCAGAGGGAGGTTTTATTTAAAGGAGGTTTTTTATTTTTGTCCTGACTTTCTTCTTGTCTAGACTGGCAATGGTGTGGTTTAGCAGACTGGCAGGGTGGATAATCTGAGTGCACAGACAGGGCCTGCCTTTGCAAGGCGGGACACCCAGCTCTGCTCCCCGTAGGAGTGGGCTGCAGCTGAGCTCGCACCCACACGGTGCGTGGCAATCCCTTACCGCTTCCTGTGGGTCAGCGAGTTACAAAGAGGGCCTTTCAATTTCGTGGAGCTGAGACAGACAGCAATCCAAGGCTAAAGAATGGTTCTTCTGCTTTCTATTTTCATGGGGCTTTAGGGCTTTCAAAGGGCTTTTACTTCTTAGTTGGGCAGCCAGGTAGAGAAGCCAGGCACGTGTCCCTCCTCCTGTTTTACAGATTTGGAAACTGAGGCCCAGAAACAATGTAGTGGCTTGTCCAGTGCCATGTGGCTCTTAAGCAGTGGTGCCAAGGTGAGAAGTGAGGGCTTCTACCTCCTGGCCCAGAGTTATTTCCTGTCTTCACTCTGCCTGCAAACGCCAGTATCATCTGGTTCTTGTTCAACCAAATTATAGCTTAAAGAATCAAAGGAAACTTCTGAAATGGTTCAGTAGTTTTAAAATTACGGTAATGCACATTCTGCAAAGGAATTTATATAAGAATATATGTATCTACTCAATAGCACCAATGGTTTGAAAATCAGATTAAATACTGCCCTACAAAGTTTGTTTTTTTAAACTTCCAAGAAAACAATAAATGCTAAGTTTAAACATGTTCAAAGGATTTTTAAACTCCCTGCCTATAAAAAGATAATTTTGGAAACTTTCAGTCTGTACATAGGAGTGTTTGTGCTGCTAAAAATTAGGAGAAGAGGGGTTTTACTAAATGTGGCCTATTGTTAAAAAAAACAAACATCTTGTTGATGAGCAAAAGGCCCATCATAGAATCTACATAACAAATGTTTCATTTTTACCTTTTTGTCTCACATTATATTTCTTGATTATTTGCTTCCTATACCCTGTCACTGGTAGAAGTCTCCAGTAGAGTGAATAACTTGCCACTAAGTCCCAAAGCCACTCAGTTCTGGGAGGATGGAGTAAGATAAAGTGGAATCAGTGTGCATATGGCTTGAGCATAGCCGAGCTCCGCTGGTGGCACCCATGGGTTCCAGGGAGGCGGGGGGCCTCATCGTCCCCTCCCCACTTACACAGCTTTCTTATCCAAATTCCCCTTCCTTTTTCCATTCCCTGTGCGCTCTTCCTCTGCTCCCTCTTCTTCCTTTTTGACTTGAGATGGCTTGTCTGACATGAATGATCCTTTTGTTCTGAGCTCTTTGGAGACCCATCAAAGTCTGAGCCTCAGTGATGTGATGACGTGAAGGCTCACTGATCCCCAGATGTGGTTGGCCTCGGAGAACCTGAACAACACATGTCAGGGCCAGCATGGGTGGATGGAGGGATTTGGCCATTAGGGCCTTGCATGGACTTGGTGAGGGCTCAGGGTGATTAAATTCTTTATGGTGTGTCCGAACATAGCGGATTTCCTCAATGCCCAGTTGCATGCCAGAACATTCTTTGCTGGAACGTGGTCAGTCCAGAAAGGACTTCTGTTCCCATTGATATTCAAAGATAGCAAGATGACTCATGTTTTTCACTTTCCTTCCCCTAGCATATATATAGCCAGCCTTCTCTGTCCCATTTCCCATAATTGCTATTGGTAGATGGTCGGGGAGAAAAAAGATCTCTACTTTGTTCCGACGCACGTTCAGCCCTTGCTAGTAAGATTCAAACCCTTATTTTGGGAGAAGAGTGGGACATTTTAGTTTATTAATTTGTTTTTAAACAAAGGTTTTGACAAAAAAATATGAAATTGTGTGTCCTATTTTTCTCCTGTCCAAATTTTCCTGCCTTCTTTCCATGGCTTCTGGATTTAGCGTACTTTATGTTTTAGGCTGTAATTCGTAGTTTTGATTTTGTCAGTGAAATGCCTTTACTTTTTCCTGGAACGAAGATGCTGACAGTGAGGTCGGGTAGCTGTGAGGTGGGGACAGGAGGGGACTCTTCCAGGCTGCTCAGAGAAGCATCTTTGTGGCCCGTTGCTTTTGGTCACTGAATGTTAGCCATGACATGTTAATGCCCATACATTTTTTTGGACAACAATGGTTTTACGATTTGCAGGACTCTCTCTTGGCCCCCTGGATTTAGCTGTCTGCCCCAGGTTAGCTCATTACAAAAGGTCAGGTTCTCACTAGCCAAAAAGCAAGACGTCTTGATCTTGCTGCTTTTCTGAATACATTATCCCTCCTTCCTAGAGTGGGGAGGAGAGAATGCCTTCTGAGCAGGAATCAGCTGCCTCATGTTTTCTGGGTTTAGGGGCAATGACAGCAGAGCCTGTGGAAATGAATCTTCAAGGCAACTGGGTCTCTTTCATTGAGACCAGGGGAGCCTTCTTTGTCTTGTCTCCAAACTGCCCCATATCAGATAATATACTGTCCTTGCGGCTGAGTCTTACCGGCTGTTGAGATGGTAATGACCATGATGGTGATGGTGGGGGAGGTGGTGGTGGAGGGGGAGGAGGAGGTGGAGGAGATGGTGGTGAAGGTGGTGGAGGTGACTGGTGGGTAGCCCTGGCGGTCTAGTGTTTAAGATATGGAACTCTCACCCCGCTGCCTAGGTTCGTTCCCCAGTCAGGGAACCAACCACCTGTCTGTCGGTTGTCATACTGTGGCAGCTGCGTGCTGCTGTGATGCTGGAAGCTGTGCCACCGGTATTTCACATACCAGCAGGGTCACCTATGGCAGACAGATTTCAGCCGAGCTTCCAGACTAAGACAGACTAGGAAGAAGGACCTAGCCACCTACTTCTGAAAAAATTGGCTATGAAAACCCTGTGAATAGCAGTGGAGCATTGTCTGATGTAGAGCTGGAAGGTGAGAGGATGACGCAGAAAGACCTGGCAGGGCTCTGCTCTGCTGTACACAGCGTTGCTGTGGCACTAACAACAGCAAAACCTGTGTATCTCGTGTTTACCTTATGGCAGTACTATTCTGAGAGCCTTACAGTATTAACCCAAGTAGCCTTCACAATAACCCTGTAAGAGTGGTCCTCTTAGCACCCTTGCATAACAGAAGAGAAACTGAGGCAATGGTAGATACGGGAATGTGCCCACATTCCAAGCTGGATTCAGCAGATGAAGCCTGACTTGGAGCCTGTGCTCCTAACTCCTGTGGGACCCTGCCTCTCTGTCAAAGCCTTCGATGGTCATGGGGAGAGCAGCCTTATTCTATCCTTGTATCTTCAGTGTCCAACACAGAGTAATGCTCATCAAATGTTATGTTCATTAAGTTCATTATTAGGTGGCTCTACGTTGTATATCATGGTATCGGTCACTTTGGAGTATAGTTTAGGCAAAGACCCACTAGTTACCATCAGAAGCTTATGGTCTAGACTCTATATTTTGACTAATCATTTGAGGATTCAGATGCCTTTTTCTCTTTCCTTATTACCAGGGACTTGACTTGGTCCCTTTTAAATCTGTGGCATGCATTACTTAACTGGTTTTGGAGAAGAGCAACTCATAAGGATGGCGTGGGATGAGTGGTAGCTACACAAAGTTTGGAAATAGCTGAAATTACTTTCGAAAGCAAAGTTTGAAAGTCAAGTAAGAAAAGGCATCCAGCTGAGTTTTTGTTATTTTACTTCGGTGCTTGCTCTGTCCTTGATAACTTCGTGGGTGTGGTCGTTTGCCTGAGTAGGGGGAGTGTGCGAGGCCATGATGGTATGCTTGGCTCGGAGGTGCTTCTGTCCTGGCTGGTCCAGGAGGATGGAAGTGATGCAAGTGAGGGGACACTGGGACAGCCTCTGGTCTGCTCGGACACCACAACCCACCCTGTTAATTCCCTTCCGTTGAAGATAATTCTGTATTCTCAACAAACTAACACATAACGCAGTCTCATTTATTACTCAAGACGTTTTTAATTAAAGGCTTTTGCTCCAAACGTGACTGGCATTCATAGACTGTGCTTTGACGTTTTAAAGGTTTGCATGTGAATTATCTTGCTTGATCATGATTATGATCCTGTGACATAGTAGGATGGGCATGATTGTTCTTATTTCCTTAATATTAATAAACTAATAATGAGTAGTCTATTAAGAATTCATTGTGTGCCAGGCACTGTGCTAAATGCTTTACATGCATTTCATCATTTGATCTTGTGAGGTGGGTACTATTTATCACCCCATGTTATTGCTGAGGAAATGTTGCAGACTTAGGTGAGGCCACACTGCCATTAGATGAAAGCATCATTATCCTTATTTTAGTGGTGAAGAAGCTAAGACCCAGAGATGTCTGAAATCCTACCACTGGGTCATGGTAGAGTTGAGTACCAGTTGGGTTTAACTCCAGCCTCTGTGTTTTCTCTAACAGATTCGTCTGCATTTATTTATTTATCCATCTATCTATCTATTTACTTGTTTTAAATTATCTTTGTTAATTTTTTTTATTGTAACATTGGTTTATAACGTATAAATTTTAGGTGTACATCATTATACTTCTGTTTCTGCAGAGATTACATCATGTTCACCACCCAAATACTAATTACAGTCCACTGCTTCTGTATTTAAAATATCACACCAGAGGTAAACGATGACCCAGTTCTCCAGTCGCTGGTGTAAAGTCTTTGTTTGGGAAAACCCAGAGGGGGCCAAGTCCTTCACTTTCTCTTGTACCTGCACGTGGGGAGTGAGCGAATGCTTCTTGGATGAGGGAATGAGGAATGACCCAAGGCGAGTTCTGCATCTCAGGATCCCGTGCTTTTTCTGTTTTCTTGCAGAAGGTGGAGGTGCCCATGATGCTGAGGCTCCTCAGGGAGCAAAGGATGTTCATGATCCAGACCATCGCTCAGTACAAGTTTGTCTACCAAGTCCTCATCCAATTCCTCCAGAACTCCAGACTCATTTAACCTCCCGATCCGCCTCCTGGAAGAGGAACCCAGCTCCATCTTGCAGATGGAGAGGCACCTCCAGACAACATCTGCTCCTCCAGCAGGCTGCAGATGGCCGGAGCAGGCAGGCCACGGGCTCCTTGAAGATGGGAGCCAAGATTATTCAAAACATCATGTATTATTTTATATGAGATAATTTATTTTTTTCCCCTTTGCAATAACTTTTGTGAATCATTGTAATACAGGTTTCACAATAATATAGTACTTTTCATTTGAATCACGTTATGACTGATCTGCATTGTAATACGTCAGTAGGGAAGGTTGCTTGGTGGGACATTTTGGGGACAGAGGCATAAAGGAATGCATCTCTAGTGAAGTTGTAGCCCGATTTACAACCAACTGAAATTCATGAGCTTAACTGCTTATGTCCAAATCAAAGATGGCAAGAAAATGAATTTATCCTGAAATGTAAAGGTAAGGGGCAAGACCCTTTCCTGAAGGAGAAAACACTGTCCTCTAGAGTGAATAGAGTTTTGGGACTGGTGAGGCTTGATGGACAGTTTCCTCTCTTCTTCCTTTCTGCCCTCACCCTCAGTTGTCTCTTTTTTGCCCCCAAGCTTGAGTGAAAGATGGGAACAGCTAGAGGAAATCCTCCCTTTACGGTGTAGTAATTGCCGTTGCCCAGGCTGAGTGAGGAGCTCCGTGTTGTATCTTTCTCAACCCCTCCTTGTTCTGGGCTCTGGAGCCTGGTCTCCCTGCCGGGGACTGCACCTCGGTATATGCTGCTCCTCCTTGTTTGCTTAGTGGCCCCAGTCTGGTGGCCTTTGAGGCCCCGGGCCAGGCCATCTGTGCAGCTAGGCCTCTTGCCTGATAGAGAGAAGATAATGGACCAGAGAAAGGAGACAGGCGGGCCCTTGATCCTGTTTCTTATTCACATCTGATGTGTGTGCTGGCTGAGGGCCTGAGGTCGAGGTGCTGGGTGCATTCTGTCTCTCCATCAGTCACGAAGTCATTGGAAAGGTTCTAAAGGAAACAGTTGGGAAGGCTGATTTATGGGGGCTGTTTGGCACTCAGGGAGCAGGGGCCTGGCCAGGAGCCACACCAAGTGGGACCCCCACTATGTTGTTGTCATCTCCAGGCTTTGACCTACAAGAGCAGAACTAAGCCCACTCAGGACCCTATAGTCCAAATCTGGGCCCACTTGATGGAAGATGGTGGAATTTGTCTCGCACAAAGTCCTCTGCTGCTTTCCTTTTCTCCACATGACCCCCTCTCTGGTCAGTTGGGGCGTTAATGCTGCCCTCAGTTTGAAGCTCAGTTCTTAGTTGGTCTCTTCCTGTGCCTTCACTGCTCACTGTCCTTCTGAATTTCTGAGGTTCGTCCACAATAAATCATCTTCCATGCATTTTCCCTCCTGCTGAATTTTGGGGAATTTTCGTCTCTACTGTCTAGTTTTTCTTGAATGCAACTTTTAAATTGTGGTTTTGGTCTTGGGATTGACCATTGTGGTGTTCCATTTTCCCTTCCTCCACTGCTGCTTTTCTTTTCCTGAACTGAAAATGCAAAGAAAGAACAGCATCAAACCAACCAGAAAGAATGTGCCTTTGTGACTTTCAGTCACCACGTACCAGCAGATGGGTGTGGAGGCCGATTCCCGATGAACGACTTGAGCCTATGAATCAACTCAGTTTCACATCTGGCCAGGGGTTGTGGTGATTCTCTGTATTTAGACTCAGACTGTCTGGAGATGGAGGGCCTCCTCTCTTTTACTCCTTCTCAAGGTCTGCAGAATCAGTCAAAGAGTATAACTTCAACTGAACTCTGTAGATTCTGGGATTTCGGTGTATGTTCTAAAAAAAAAAAACCATTAGTATGACTTGCATTTTCAGTGGAACAGAGCTCCTGACCCTCACTGTGAGACGCCCAGAACTTGATAGTCAACAGCCAGAGAGGTATTTGTTTCCTTTCCTTAGAGACTTTCCATCCTTGGGATAGTCTGCTGTTAGGGATGTTTTAACAGTTGGTCTGCAGTTAACTGGTTTATTGTTTGATGAACATCATCAGTATTTCTCTTTCGTCTCTTAGGCCCCAACATGGGTACTGTTAAAATGAAGTCACACGTGGGCAGCCTGTAGATCTGCTGTCTCTCTGAGCTCATCACTCATGGTCCTTCTTTCAAGCCATCCACTGTTGCCACTTTGTGCTACGGGAATATTCATTAATGCACAAAATGCAGGGAAGAAGTAGGTTTAATATCCAATTTCCTAGCCAAAGTTTATATTGAAACCCAAAGGAAAACATTTAAAAGTTATTCCACATATTTCATTTTTAAAAACAAAAGCTTTTGGTCCTTTAGCACATTTTGCATTCCTTTTCACATCTCCAGTAAATGCCAACATATCTCCCGTTAAATTAGCAGCAGCCATTTAAAGTCCTTTCAGTGGCATCTGCATAATAATTGCCCAGAGATGCTTTCTATCTGGGAAGCAAGCCAAGGAATAAACCTTGAAGCAAAGTGTATTAAATTAGTTATCTAGTTAGAGCTTTTGGAATGAGTTCCTGATGATGTATCAAGTCTGAAGCCGGAGCTGTCAGGGTTTGTTGCTGTAGTTTGTATTTGAAGGGAGAAAATTAAAAATGGAGGGGAAAAAAAAAAGACACCGTCTCACAACAAAGCCATCCAACACTTTCAGGCCTTTAGTTTTGAAGTTTTCCAGTTGAAATGTTTTGTTTCTTTCATCCACGCTCATTTGGATACGTTGACCCAGTGCTCATCCTTGTTTGCTGTGGTCCCTGGATCACGGGGGCTGAGTTTGATGTCTTCATCCTTGAGCTGAGCCTATTGGCAAAGCCGAGTCAGGTCCTGCTGAGCCTTATTGGTTTCCTTGGGCCCTAAGGAGACACCACCGTTGGGTAGCATTTACATTTATATACACCTCTTTCCCTGGATAGGAAGTAAAGGAGGATTTAGCTGCATTAGAGACGGATGTCAAACGCTGATTTCTTTGTAGAGACTAAAGAGGAATGAGCTCCTCCCCTCAGTTGGAGGTGAACAGCAAGATTAGGGAAAGTGAAAACATCTCCACCTGGAATATTTTGAGTAATAAGCTTTCAAGGAGCCTAAACAGAGAGGATTTTACTTTTACAAGCTTTGTGGTCCTAGATTGAGAAGAACTAATTTTTTGACTGTAATTAATCTGTCGTTGTTTGCCTAAGAGTCACTTGGCCTTCTCTGGCCCCTTCTTCCATCAGCCTGGAGAAGATCTTTGTGGGCTCTGCTGGGAGGGGTTCTGTGGGACTTGACCACTGGCTTGCCAGTGCTCACTTAGCCTTTATCCTGCCTGCTCTCAGCTTTTGCGGTTCAGTTATAAACTCCAGTGGGTACAGTAGGTCAGCATTTTTATCCAGCTGCCTACTTTTCTTATCTTTTCCAGCTTAATATAGGTTGACCCATATGACATTTCTAATAGTTGGATCATATTTTATTTACAATGACAGGAACTTCACATGAATCAACCTAATATGTACCATTTGTTTCTTCCCCCTGGGATAGTATGGATCCCAGCGTGCCATATGTCATTTCTCCACACAAGTGCTAATGAACAGGAAAGTGTGTGCAGTGGGCTCTTGGCTCTTTTTGTGAACCTGCTGTCTTGTGTAGTGACCCTTACCTCACTCGGTGAGTGGGCCGTCTCCTGGGGCTTGGAAGTCACTCTTTGCAGAGATGCTAGTACACTGTCGATTCTCATAGGCAGGGTTGGCCATCAGGCACATCACTATGAGGTTTTCAACTCCTATCATTTCTTGATGTACAATCTGTATTAGCTGACCTCAGCCCAGTGGTTATGGAACATGATGTGTGGGCCTGAAGGTGTCCTCGATCAGAAAGCAGAATGTGCTTTCTAATCTCTCTCCTCCACTGCGAGTGGTGTGTTTGATGGTGAAAGTGGGTATAGTTATTGATTTTCTTTTTGGAGAGATATGTCAATCACTTGATGTGGATGGGGGGAGGCAGGTACAAGGGCATTCTAAGATGTGTGGCCAGGGAGTTTAGACTCCTTCATTCCTCCTCTGTGTCAGGAATAACTGTTGAGGTCCTAGAGTAAGAAATTTCCAGAAGCACCAAGTAACCACCCATTCCAACCACTCTGTTGGGCTTTTAAAGTGGCCCTTTGTGGGAATTCAGCTTCCTCACGTTTTACCAAAGATTCTTCTGCTGCTGTCTTTTATTTTATTGCCTGTGGATTTTTTTCAGACCCTCATCATCCTCTTAATTTAGTGATTTCTTTTCATGAGCTAAGGAATTACTAATCCAGCATTGCTTCCAAATGGAGACATTTAGGTTTTCCATGGATACCACACACATTTTCCAGTGGGCTACAACTTTATGGGTAAAAAACTAGTTGGCCCTAGAGGGTGGATCTCTAGGATGTTAAATTTTGTTTGACACTTCCCTTGGACTCTGAGCAAGAAAGCAGAATGGTTCTTGTCTTTGCCTCAGCCTCTTAAGATATTCTAGGGTAAAAGATTTTATTAACACATCTGTTGAAAGTAACAGCAACGTGCCTGGGAGAAATGTGAGGGTGTATCCAATCACATTCTGCCAGCCCAAATGTGTTGCCCCAAAATTCACGGTTATTCATGGGGTCCTGTGAAACTCAACAGCCAGCTTGCCTAATACTCAACCTTCATCCTGCCTGCTCTCACATTTTGCATTTGCGTTTTAAGCTCAGGTGGGTGTGCATGTTTATCCAGCTGACTACCTTTCTTATCTTCAGCTTAATATAGCTGCATCTTCTTTCACAAGGTCAAACTAAAAAATTCTCTATTAAAATGTCCATGAGCCTGGCATTGAGTATCTGGCATCAATCGATTTCAGAAGACTGGATAATTGATTGTTGTGCAGGAAAGGGAAGGGTGTGCATCAGTTCCTACTGTTCAGAGCTTTAGTCAGCCTTTCCATTTTAAAAATACATTCAAAGATATTTAGTTATAAGGCAGGAGGGCTAGAGCTGATGTGCAGCCTAGTATGACGAGCATCTGCATAGAAAGTCACTGTTCCTTCGGCCATACTTTGGGCCACCAGGGTCATTCTTTCCAAAAAATGCCATAAGCTTGCCCAGAGAAGAGCTATAAATGGGAGGAGGAAGGGCTTTTAGATCAGCCCTGAAGTTGCTATCAAAAAGTTTATTGATTCACAAATAATTTTTGGAGCTCC